TCCGGTGTTTTTATTTTGTTCCCAACAATCGCTTGTTCGTCACATCTAACACTTTTTGTGGCGACTGAACCGTTTGAGGTCGGAGCAATTAGGTCGCGGTCACGAGTACTGGCATACGTTAAGTTCGGTTGTCGTACAGTAGGCGTAGAGATAGCCATTGAGTCTCTACCATCATAGGTAGCTTGACATTTTAGTGGTTTCCGAAAAATATTTTTCAGATGTACTTAGCGATTAGTAGGCACTAATCTATGGATTAACTTCTGGATTCCTTCATCGCATCGCACAATTCCTACATTATCACTCTGGACTGTCTGTGGCCGTCTGGATTCCCCTTTCGACCCATCCACTCCACTTTGGTAAGGAATCATCAAATGGATACCATAGTAGCTCACGACCCGACCATCACTGTCTGTACGCATTGAGAACAACCCATAGTTTCACAGTCAACGAAATTGGTCACTAGAGACCCAGCGATTTCCAATTTATTTCAGTTTATTTCTTTAGAAACAGCATATTCAAAGTCTTCAGCCTGATCCGTTTTCGCCTCCTAGTCTCCTCGGAACACCTACCAATGCGCCATGGGCAAACAAGCAATTGGTACAGTGGCTCTCAATCAGCAAATCCGTTTCGACACCCTGCAATATCAGATGATTTATCCGCAAAAACCGATGGTGCAGTCGAGGACAATTCAAATGATGCATTTTGATGAGGTAATCCATTGTTTATGTTTCCCTATTTCTAGTCTTTAGCAATCTTTCACCAAATCAGTACCTTCATGTTAAGCATGAAACATAAGAGGGTGTCAGAAAAGTTCCAAGACTGATGTCACAAAAGAGTTATTTCAAATCCAAACCTCACACTAGACAATCTCCCAGGAGTCTAACGCGCTTCCCCTTCATCTACCATGCTTGCATGCACTCTAGTTCAAGTGACTTGGTAATGATGGTGGTCGCGTGGCAGTGCTGTGTCTTTGCGGTTCACCGGTGTACAGCTGACGCTTCTTAACTTCTATGCGTTCAAGCTATGCGACTACTTGACCCCTTCATTTCTGCACCTCGTTTTAATATCGCTCAGATTAGTTCTTCGTCAATAATAGTCGCGATGGGCATTTGTCATATTTGAGAAGTTGATATCTTTTTCGTTTGGTATCCAACGTCAGCTGATTTGCACTGATATCTGTTAAGCCATCTGCTTTCGCGTAGTAAACACATCCAGGGATTGTACTTTCGAGACTGCACGATAGTCTTGCTCTACTTAACAATATATATATTTATGATGATCTATCGGTGCGCTTTCCGGGGGAAATTCTCAGCTATTCTTTATTCTATGTCCTGCACTTCTTGAGATGGTGCAGCTGTATGTCGAAGTCTGTACTGACTATCATTTAGAATGCATGTAGCTCAGGATGTGGGTGCTGAATTTCGCTCCGACTTCGGCGATTTCGTTGTAGACGTTCCGTCAGCAGACTATGTTGTTGCCTAGTCTGGTGCCGAAGTGTTTGGGACCAAATCGTCCAGTACGGAGGACAATACAGTATGCACAAGTTTTTACCGACTTAGTTATGACAAACAGACTTTCTCAAAGCAGACGTTTTCGAAACTAGTTTAACAAGCAGTGCATATTTCCACTCCGATCACTGAGTGGAAAGTGCATTTCATTGCTCAAAGTCGTTCCTCCAACCAGATACTCCCGGACTTTTAATCTCGTATATTTTTTCACCGAGTTCTCATTTTATGTTTTACTCCCCTCTCTAATGCCGAGATTTCAAATCTCGAGCCGCGCGTATTTAATCTAGTTTTTGGACGATGCGGTCCTTGTGTTTTGAAGGCACCAGATGCCAAGCATTTTCGGTCATTTGTATTTGCTAAACTTCATTGTTGCATACGATGCCGTCATTGATATTCCGCTGCATCGACTGAGCTATCCCCGCTTTCACTTTTTTTGAATCCACCCTGTACATTTCCTTAATGTAGGAAATTGCGCCATATCGAACGAGCCCGCAGCGTGTATCGAGATGTTTTTAGCGCAGGTAGGCATGCATAAGCTGGCTCTATGAGTGAACGCCATTTCAACGTGTCGTTTTCTTGAGTAGGATCCATTAAATGGAACAATGGTTTTATACGGGGATGATCATAGGGAAAATTCAAAGTATAAGAAAAATTGTCAGCAAATTTAGGTTTACACTATACTCACCGCGGTATTCGTAAGTATGGATCCACTGTAAGTCATGTACGGTATCACACATGTGTATCCGTTTACGCACGCATATATATCCGATTACACCGATTTCGTGAGGGCTGGAGAGCACCATGTTTGTCTGCGTCCTGTTGTTACTAAGCGAACAGAAATCAGATCAGGTAATGCAGGTGTTGTAATACATCGTCGAGTTGTTTTTTAAAAAGCGGGTAGCGTGGGTGCAGAACTGACAAAAGTCGAAAGAGCGTTCCAGTGGGCGATAAATTCGAAGAGAAGAATAGTTCCGGTGGCATTCCAGTCAAATGTATTGCGTAGCCAGTTTCAGCTGGTGACCCCTCAATTTTGTGTTGCAGCTAATTTTCACGTGGTGGCGGCAAATGTGATCGGGATTTTTCATGATCTGCAGCGCCAGAATGAGGTCACCCCGTAGACGGCGATAACTTCCGTTGTACACACCTAAACCTTTCAGTCGCAGATGGTACGAGAGGTGGAACATTCCCCTCACCTTTTTGGTTGCCCTTCGCTGTGCGGTATCCAGTGCAAAGAGATCGCGTTTTAACCAGGGTTGCCAGGCCTGAATCACGTACTCCACATGGGGCCTCACATACGTATTGAGCATTTTTGGGAACGATAGAGGGGTCGAACCGTACGAACATCCTCCTTAAGAGACCAACGTGTTGCTTACTGGTTTTGGCCGTCTTCAATGACTGTGCCGAACAGCCGAGGTCGTCTTGTATCACCACCCCAAGATCGCGCTCCTGTGAGGCGGTTTTCAGCACGTGGTCTCCAAGCTTATATGCGTAAGTGGGCTTGTGGCGTACATGTACAGTCTTGCACTTATCCGCGTTACATGGAAGTAGATTTGCCTTTAACCATTCAAGAGCACGATCTAAATCTCTCTGGAGCGCGTCGTGATCGTTCTGACAACCGATCGCCTGCCATATCTTAATATTATCGGCAAAAAGCAGGGACTTGGACTCGTTGACACGAGGTCGTTGAAGAAGACCAGAAATAGGCACGGCCCGAACACCGATCCTTGTGGGACACCGCAGTCCACGTCGATAGGATCAGATAATGTACGCCTAACCCGAACCTGAAACCGCAGCTGAAACAGGAAATTTCCGATCCATCCAAGGACCGGGTCCCCAAATCCGTACGCTTGCAGCTTTGCGAGAAGTATTCGGTGATCTATGCGGTGGAAGGCTTTAGGAAAGTCTAGGTAGATGACATCAGTGCCGGTCCCACCGTCGCCTATTTCGGTCTAATTGCCACGCGCAGTGAGCAGATTCATAGTATATGACCGATGCTGACGGAATCCGTGTTGCTCCGGTGCTATGATGTTAGACCTTTGAAAGTAGCCCATCAGCGCCTCAGCTATGATTGACTCCATCACCTTTGAGAGCACCGGGAGGAGAATCACTGGGCGATAGTTGACGGGCTCCGAACGGCTACCACCCTTGAAAATTGGGGTGATGATACCCTGCTTCCACATGTTGGGGACCTGCTGTTCATCCAGGCATCTTTGGAAAATCGAGCTAATGGCTCAGCTATCCTCGTAGCTGCCACCTGAAGTGCTTTTGGGGGAATGTTGTCAACACCGGGGGAACTATGGGTGCGCAACGATATCAGCTTCCTCAAAACGGTCGCTGAACTAAAAGTGACATGTCGGAATATCGGCGTCTGGGGGAATGGGACAGGTATGTGACATGCTGGTGTCGTATCAAAATATTGAAACATATTGCAGCCGTAAAACGTTGGCTGCATCCTCGGCAATTTGAGCACATCCATTTGCTGAGGTAAGTGGGGAAACACCGCGCTTCACATTCCGAAGGCTGTTCACATGTCTGTACAGAAGCTTGTTGTTAGCATAAAACCTTTCTGCTGGTGAACTAATTTGTCCTCACATACAAGTGTGGTACAGTGATTACAATGCACTGAATAGTAGCTCCAGTTGTCAGGGTTAGAGTTCGCCCTATACATATGCCACGCTGCGTCTCTTAACGCCATGTGTTTTGAGGTTTTGCTCCTATTGATTGATGGTGCTGCGATAGAACGAATGTGGCTGTTTACACATGCGGATTTAATCAGATCGCTGAACTTGCCAGCAAACTCCGTCCATGCCGTATCAATGAAGCAATCGTCCGAAAAATCCCAAATGGTATCCCAAACAAGTTCTGTGCTTGTGTCGTCGTGTGTGATTGTTCGAAACAAGTCACTGTATTCTTGTGGATATTTCGCTTAACTCACATAGTCGTAAAGTATTGTTACTTGACCACTTCACCCCAGAGGGCTCTCCATCTTTGGTTTCTCAATTATGAGCTCTTCGTTCGTGAGCACCAGATCAAGCACAGATCGCTTATTTCCCGTGATGAATCTGGTGGGCGAACTGGTATGGCTAAAGAGCGGAATGCTTGCAATAAGCTCTTGTAGGTCTGCCTTGAATTGTTCATTGGGAAAAATCGGAACTTCCAAATCATGAACATTGAAGTCCCCGGAGATGAGAACATGGCTGTGTCCTTGTCGAAGTACCCACCCCAATACGAGTGTCAGGCGGGAGTCCATCTCTGTCAGTCACCAGGCACTGGCGACTTTTTTTTTCTACCTTCCAGTTATGTGGTTCTACGGTTTTCATTCCCCTGTCGGTTAGACGTTCCACATCACCTCCCGTCTATTTTCTGTTTGATTTCTTTCTCCGCACGATACCGGTTGCTTTTGTATTATTCGGACGACATGTACAGCTTTCCCATAAACAAAGCCTCTCGCTACCCTCTTCCCACTGGCCATTCATAAATTATCTCAACCACCGTACGGTGCCTGCGTCACAATCATTTATCCCAATCTATTCAATAAACATCTTGTTTCCTGTCCTGTTGTAACTTTCTCAGCTTCCTGCCGGCCAAAATGCTATCGTGGCCATCATGTCTTATTCGGGGTACGATGTGGAAGATGCGCTTGTCATCAACCGCGCCTCTCTGGATCGAGGGTTCGCGCGAGCGTGCGTCTACAAGCGTGCTGGAGTCCACCTGAAAATGCACGAGAATGCTGTTTACGATCGGCTGATGGGACCAAGCATCGATCGAGGTGAATAATTCATGACGTTTTATTCATTTTGAGATTGCTTCTGTCCCGCTGCTGCTGCTTGTGTCGGCCCTATGCGATTTCCAGTCCCCTTTTCTATCTGGGTTTGGGCAACCAGCACTATTCTATCTCGCATGTTACTCCTTCGGCTTATCTCTTGAGAGTTAGGTTTTACGGTGATTCTAGTTCCCTGGTGACAACCTAGGACTCGGTAGTTTCATCCGAGAGTTTGACGATCACACTAATGGCACTTTTTCCCAATGCCTTCGTAATACTCGCTTTCGCCACATGAACTGGACATCAGTGGCTTCCGTGATTCGAGTGCTTTTGATATATTACGTAATTGCTTCTGAGATCTCTCGTCCAACTTATCATACTGCGTAACTTCCCGTTTTGAACAGTTTTCCGGAAGCTTTTTTCCTCAGGTCCTTCGGGTCATTAAGATATACTTTAGGTTTGTCAAGGCCATTTCTTGAACGGACTGTGACAGTCATCAGCCTTGCTCATTTATCGAAACGACGACTTACTTTGACGCAGCACTCCACTTTGTACGATTTTTGTTATCTTGCTTGCTGCAGACGTTAGATGAGCGTGTGTTTGTGCACTGTTCATTTTAGAGGTCATCAACCCCAATTCTGACTTCAGACAGTAGGTGAGGTACACCTTTCCTTCCTCGCGTGTTTGTTTACTTGTTGGATGCTGCGATCTATTCGCTCGAAGCCAAATAACACTCCAATGGTCCCGGGTTCGAGGCTTGCTCTTTCTACCTGGTGAGATCAAATGTGATCGGAAGGTTCAATTCGATGGGATTCGCCGTTCACACTGAGATCGCGTGTCGCGATCCACTCTCACAGCGAGTGCTTCAATGTTACTGAAACATCATGGTTTTCTTACTATGAAGTGCCGTAATATCACCCGCTCTCCAGTCGGCCGGTGGCCGAGTGGCCTGCGCACCTGGTTTTCAACCATAAGGTCCCCGGTTCGAATCCGCGTAGAGGTGGGCGTCCTCGCGGTATACTCAGCCCGCGCGCGACTGATAGTGGTCGCGCGGCAGCGTAACGCCGTTACGGCGTACAGCTGGCACTTTATTACGTTTCGTTTTACTCAAATAGCCTTGCAGAGTGGTTCTTCATCTCCTAGAATTCACTGTCAACATTACAGTCCCTCATCCAAGCAAAAACACTCCGAATTGGTGCATTTATTGATTGGCGGAAGTTTGAAACAAAATGATCTACAAACTGTCTGTTTCCTTCAACCATTCTCTTATGTCCTGGTTACTGAAAGTAAATAAATTGGTATACTTTCCATCTTGCAAGACAAATTAGGTGGATCCAGGTTGTATTTATATGCATGCTACGTTGTTTCTTTGGCACTTCTTAACGATGTTGTAGTACTACTATTTCCAACCTCACTACCGATTGTAAAATAGTATACTGTCATTCATGCGCCTAGAAACTGGACAACCTCGCCGCGGTGACGAGCTTCTACAGGCTGACGGCACAGCGTTCGTCGGTGCTCGTGTTGTTGACCGCCAGATTTTAATCAATAAAGAAATGCCTGTGGTAAAAGTCACCTCTTTGCAAGACAACGCTGGTCAACTGGGTCTTCACAGTGGTACGCCAGATGGACTTGTAAGTGAACAGTTATGGATCATTCGTGTGTTTGCTTCAGTTGGACTTCGCATTTCCTGTGTGCTTTTTTCTATCCGTTTTTGAGGTGCTACAAGTTGGACCAAAAATCCGAGTAGCTTTCCTCTAAACGGCTGATTTGGTTGAGGCAGTTGCGTTATTTTCGCTTCTTCTCCTGTTTGACATGCCAATGAGAAGCGTATGTGTTGAAACATCCGTGCGTGTCTGAGCTTGATAGCTCAAGTATAGTATGGTTACTTTGTTCAAATTCAGTGTTCCACACAGATTTACGACTCACGAGCCTTTGGTGCTATCACTCCGTCTAATAGTGTCCTTCCCACTAATTTTCACATTCTGCTCCTAGTGGATACCAATGGATTCCATTGTTTCTGTCTAGTCAGCAAAACAACGTGGTGTCCCTGTTGTTGTGCACAGCTGTGCCCCGTTTGTTTTCGCTTGGCCGATAGATATCGATGCCGTTTCGGAAACCTGCCTACGAATTATTTTTTCCATACCCTCCTGAATACCTCGTTATCCGATCGATTCGCACTGTCGCCTTTGGTGACTACATCGCCTTGCTAATCTATTTCTTCAGGCTGAGTTCACGCATGATGGCGATGGCTCACTCCCGCTTTGAAGCATTCTGTCTGTTTTTGGTCATTCGATAATTAATTTCACCCTCCCTCTGGTAGTTTCTAAAACATATGGATCTTTGGCTTCTGTCTGGTGTTGCCTTGCTACTTAGATTGGCCTCTATCAGCGGAACTATTGACCAATTTATCAGTGTAGATTGCACCTGGTTCTAGTCTGTCGAAAATTGTCACAGCGGCGATGAAAATTTTGCACGTATTTCATCAGCACAATTTTATTGTATTCTTTGGTCCATTCTTCCCTTCTTCTTCATGTCTTCTCCATCTAATTCGCAGACCGAATTTCGACGCTGTCCTGCAGACTACAAAGGAATCGAACCGTCTTATGTGGAGAAGGTAATGTTCTCCACATCAGAAGGCAATCAGGCTGTGGTCAAAGTTCTCCTACGGCAGACTCGTCGCCCGGAGGTGGGAGATAAGTTCTCAAGCCGACATGGCCAGAAAGGAGTCATTGGTCTGATTGTACGACAGGAAGACATGCCGTTCTCTATGCAGGGACTCGTTCCGGATGTCATCATGAACCCTCACGGGTTCCCCAGCCGGATGACGGTACGTTTGCCTTATATTTTTTTAGCTCGTTCATTCTCTGGATCGCCCACTTCAGACGTGGTTGAGCGCGTTTTTCACTAATAAGGTATCATGAAAATAATTTATATGTTGTAGTTTCCTCATACTCTTTGACACTTTCAGAAAGACGGTTGAAGAAGTTTGTGCTCACACTCTTATGCACTTGACCTCAGAAACATCTCACCAGTCTTCACTTTCTTTTGGGCAATGTCTGCTGCCAGCGTTAGTCCGACAGTGATCAGACCTCGTCAAAAGCGCTGCTTCTTAATTTATTAAAATATGTAAAACTTATTTGTTCAATCCCTGGGAGATTGTGCTACGGGGGAGATACCCAAATATATCAAAGGAATTGTTATTTTTCTTTTCGGCTTGACGTGCGTTATATTCCGCCCTTCTCTTCTGTCAGACATTGCAGTCGAATATTGTGTACCATAGGCTAACGCTCTTTTATGCCTCATAAGACCAAAACTACCAAAGTTGAAGTAGTACCCTGGCCGAGTAAATCTCCGACACAAGTCGAGGGAGCATACTATCTTTGTTGATGTCCAAGAAAGGGAAGGTGTCAGTAAGTTCTTTTATCAGTGACTTGACGGCGTGGCCACGGACACTTCGCTAGTGACAGTACCAACTGGTACCTTCAAGAGGCACTTGGAGAACATCAACCTACTTTGTCATATACAAAACGTAAACTTTTATTGTTTGTATATTAACGTCACCTTCGCCGTCCAACAGACGGCATACTTATTTGATACTCAGACATACAATGGTCGGACATTAACTTAAAGAGGAATCCGGATGGTATTGCGTAGCTCCACCTTTTGGCATTCGGTCAGGTTGACTATCCGCTCTCTCGCAAACGCCTACAAATAAACTGAGTACCGTACACCTTGAAATGTTCTTCTAACTTTCGAAAGATCAAGTGATATTGCTGAATTGGGTCGGCACGCTATCGCTGATCACCATCTCGATACAATGCTCAGGCGTTGCTGACAGTTCGGCAGCTGTATCACTTCGCATGGTCAACTCATCGAAGAGGTTCCTTCTCCCAACGTAAGCTTGTTTGATTTCACAAAATCTTAATCTATAGACACCATTAGACTCTGAGTGCATAGCTCGCAGCCATGGTCGCCACATGCTGGATTCTCTTCTCGGCATCAGTCAGCTGAGTATTATGGTCCGTATCTGATCGGAGGGACATATTTATGTCAGCCACCTGATGATTTAGCAACAGACGTTTTCTAATGCAGCGAATTACCTTCTAAACTTCACATGTGTGCCGGTTTTCCTCCTCAAGGTACATGTCGCTTTCGGACACTACCATCATGAGTGTGATCGTGACTTTTGATTCTTAGACATTTCATGCGGACTGCCTAATCACGCATACGTGGGCCGTTCAATAAAGATTTCCCCTGACCAACTTCCCATGCATCAAGAGTAGCGAAACTTTGCACATATATTAGTCGTTCTCCAACTAGGTACTAACCAAATTTACACTTTACTGCCATCGTTCTATGCAGTCGAATAGACCACGTTTGTAGAGGTCCTCAGATTGGGCTAAAAGTCATAACCTGACCTCAGCAATCGGAGTCTCATCGTTAGGATAGATATCTCTCCTTCAGAACTGACTTCATATTTAAAATGAGGTGAAAGTCAGATAATGTAACGTCCGGAGAGTGTGAAGGATGAAAAGTATTTCATGGCCGCGCTTCTCTCTAGGCGACTTTTACGTTATGAGTAGGGGTATTGCCACGGAGAAACAGGAACACTGATTGCGACGAACAAAAATACTCACCAAAATCCTTCCACTCATAAGTACTACCATACCTCTCTTTGTTGATGTACATCCTTAGTTGATGTATTAGTGAGACATTGTATGCTTCGGTAATACTTCTGACAACTTCGGGTAGTAAGTCCATCATTACTACTCCATGATGGTACCGAAAGACTGTGAGTATGAACTTGCTTACTAAAAGTTGAACATGTACTTTTTGAGGGCGGTGAATCAACATGTTTTGACTGGGCTTTGGTTCCTGAATCGCATGTTTCATCTAGTGTAATTAGTCTGCCAAAAATGTATCCTGGTATTTCTGACATGTTCAAATGATTCCAGAGGATGTGACTATTGCTTGCTTCAGGAAAGGTGTGGGCAACCGGGGAACCTTAATGGTTGACATTTTTCACCTGTTCAGATGATTATGGATTATATTTTCCATAGATCCCATTTGGCGAACTGTTACACGGGGATTATGAGAAACGGCGATCTCCACCTGATGGATGGTGTCCTCATCAATAACAGAAGGGTGGCGACCGGAATTGGAAGCTGTCCTCAGCGAAGTTCTGCCACACATCTAAACTGGCGATGTCAGTTTTTTTTAACTAAGTCATATGATGTTGCTCTATGCCACTTTTACTTCATCATATGTTCTACTTGGTGTGTGATTCTCCAAGAAAAGGTGCTTGATTACTGATTTACATTCAACCAGCTCCATAATGCAATCCTCCTTCAATTTAGAACCTGCCAAAAGGAAACATTTATCCTATGAAGTTGCAATTTGATTGAATGCTTTCATATTTATATACCGTCACACGTGTCAAATTTCAACCCCTTGACACACCTAGAGGAATGGCTTGGTGGAGTTATGCAACACAGCCGGTCGGCAGCTTTGGAAATGCCGGCCCGTGGCCTTAAAGACCACAATCCTACGTTGTAATTTGAGGGCGCGGGTTCTAGCCAGCGTAGGAAACTGAGCGACCATCGCACTATCAGCCCACGCGCGACTGGCGGTGGTTGCACGGTAGCGAAGCGTCGATACTGCGTACCGGCGTACTTCTGATGCCTTTTTATGGTAAGGCTTCATAGATTACACAGCCTCAAATCCCAAGTGTGTCCTGACTACTCTTGTACTTATCGCCTGATACCGCGGCCCGGGGAACCTGTCTTCTTATCAATCGCTTCCCAGCGTTGTCATTCCGATGGTGAAATTAAAACATGTAATGTTCTCTTACTCGAAGTGCGCTGATGATTTGCGACTGATACTTCATTATTGTGCGATTCTGATTGATGCGATCTTCAGTCGACAGCTTGGGAACACTGGTCATTTATAAGCACCTGGCCATCCACCCGCAGCCCCCGTCGAGCACGCTCTAGCCTGAACATCGACCCCGCCATGTTTAATTCCTTGTTTCTACCGTATGGATATTTGTGCATCGAGCGTTTTCTTTTCGCTCCAGTCGTCCCCATCTATTCCACTCCTACTTGATTTCTTTCAGTATTGCGATGACATGGACACAGCAGACTGACTACGGGCCACTGTTTGATAACCTCAGGTGAATTACATTCGGTCATTTGTGTTAGTTCTGTGCAGCTTTTCAACAATATATACGCGTCGCTGCAGCATAGCATAGTTTAAGCACTAACGGTACTCCGGCACATCCTATCTACGCTTCGCTGCCATGCGATCACCGCTAGTCGCGTCTGGATTAGGGATACTGTAAGGTCGCCCGACTGTACTCATATTCGAACCGGTAACTTGTGGATTACAAGACGACATATCGCACTCGACCGCCGGCTGAAGTACACGTACGATTAAAGGCAGGAATGCAGTTGAACTAATTGGGAAGCATCGAAGATGACGACAGTTAACTTATTTGCTCCTTATACGCCCTTGTTGATGTTTCAGCAGATGGGACGCTGCCGATCGCCATGGATAGATCATGAAGAATCCCGTCGTATACTGTCTATTGTTTTGAGCGAATGAATCAGACCAATATTCGGGTCCGTATAAAATGGCGATTTAAGCCGTTCAATCTTATCAGTCCGCTGTAAGCTAATGCGGTACGACAACTGCAGTATTTCGTTTACTGACCTGCCACCTTAATAGCAGTCATTTGCCCTTTTAACTGGTCGGTGAATTATGTGGCATCCATTCTAACAAAATTTTTGTGGCTGCTCTGTTGTCGTTGGCATTATCATCCTGAATAACCCAGTTGGCTGGATGGTGCGTAGATAGCTCCGTCCCGAGTGCACCACCTTGATGCAATATCCGCATGTGGTTCCCTTAAGTTCGGATCGATTCATCGACTGTGGTCTGCTCACTGAAGTGTGGTGGATCTATCCACCGCGACCCACATCACCAATATAATAGTGAAAACAAAAATTGAAAACTAATCAGCAAGAGCCAGAATCTCAAGGTTGAGTAGTTATGGACTTGGAACAAGGCAAATGGATACAAGAGCGCCAATGGCTTCCTGATTGTGTCATGTCCGTTGATGCGTCCAACCCCAGTGTTCCCATTCAGGAAAACCACAAACACCAACCCTATTTGGCTTTTCAAGACGCATTTCTTCATTCTCTTTTGTCATATCATTGACTGGCCACCTTGGGTTGCACCAAACTAGGCGCAGTAATGGGAATCGTACACACCGAGGCGGTCAATTTATAGACATGCGGATCCCATGATAGTATTGTTATTGTTACATTTCATGAGTCTACGAATATACATGAAGCCATCAAAAGCCATGGAACTCAGATAAGAGTACAGTTGTGGTAAATGGAAAAACTAACAGAACACAGGTGAATCCATGGCTTCCTCAGTAATGAGCACGCGGTGATCTAAGCCAAAGTAGGGAGTCGATTTAGGGGACACCACTCCGATGCTACTCGCAAAACAGCGGAGTGAAGTCAGGGAATCTTGACAATTCGGAGTCGCGGTAACTAAGTACTCGGTTAGTATGCGTTTCGTTTGGTCAGTTATTAAACGGGTCTGATCCTACCCACAATGTTTGCTTCAGGTTGCTGGAATACAATATTCCACCGGAGGCAGTGGCTAGACACATGCGCCATGTCGCATTGCTGTTCAACGGGCTTAAACGGAACCCACCGCCTCCTGAAACGCTACCGCAGAACCATTTGCTAGAACGAGTTAAACCCGAACCACCACGATGAGGTTGTTTGGCGATCCAACTCGGATCACATGACGTAGTCAATGAAGACTAATCGAATTCAACAAACACTCCAGTGAGGTGCCGAAGGGCCGGTTGCCAAACATTAGATGGTGAACTTTCGTATTACTCACTCTGTTCTGTCATCTGATGTGAGCAATATAACACAAACAACGGTGGTCGAGCACACTTACCCTTGACCACATTATTGCGTCTTGGAGTACCTATCGTGTGTCTGGATTGCGGCACACACTTACACTCGAGGTAACAGTTTACTCTGAAGCAAACTTACGCCATTTCGATCAACAGGATCGCAACCAAAGTGGCCAGGTTTCTGGTAGTGCCAATGTTTTAATTTCTTCCCTTAGCCTGCATGCTTGCAGTAACCTCCGGTCTCATTGCTACCCGGAACTGATATGCGATTTCGGGTGATTGCTCCATGAGTGTTAAAATCTGTAGCGTGTTGGCCCAATCTTGTAGCAACACTGCGCAAAGCACATTCTGTATCATGAAGCTCTACATGCCAGATTGTCTAATGGCTGTCTTATCCGGAGGGAAATATGCCCTCAAATAATTAGTAGGATACACCAGAGAACTTGGTAGAAAGTAGCCTGGAGTTATTTATGATCATTGAGAATAAAAGGTCGAAGCGAAAAGGCATCTGTGATGCAATTCACTTGTCGTGGCATACTCAAATGAGAGCTCCACAGGAGCCACAGATGAGGCGAGACAAGAAGACAGAGGGAGTTCCTGGAATCCTGGTTCTCCACGAAGGACTCAATCAATATGCTTATCGACATCAACTCCGTATACAAACTACTGCGATGGAAAGAAATTGGGGGAATTTCAAGACGCCCCTTGAATAAGAACAACTCGAACGACAACTTAAGCCGCGGGAAAAGTGGGTAGAGATCGCGGGGCGCGGATCGAAGCCGTCACCTCTATCACGGATCGACGATTCAATCAGCAAGATTCCACTCTGTATATTAGCGCACTGACAATGCCACGTCGCATGGTAGCGAAACGTATGCGAACGAACAAATGAGCAACTGAATGTGATGCCATTTTCATCCTGCTCTTGCAGCCTCTGAATGTGAAGCATGTCACGAGTGTTAACGATTCATCCGCCTATTAATTCCTTTATGCTACCTCTCCTTAAAATGTGCTCAACCGATTTTTCTGTCATACTCTCCTCATTTCAGGTTGGTAAACTTCTCGAACTTCTAGGAAGTAAAGCCGGGGCCGTTGAGGGCCGCATTCGTGACGGATCTGCATTCTCTGGGGATTCCGCAGAGCAGCTATCACAGGTTTTGTCAGATCACGGTTATCATTTCCTCGGCAAGGAAGTGCTCTACTCTGGTGTTACCGGTGCCCCATTGGAGGCCTACATCTACTTTGGTCCCGTTTATTATCAGAGGCTAAAGCACATGGTGATGGACAAAGTGAGTTCTGGCTGTTGTTGGTGTGCACTTGCATCTGCCCCAGAGGTTTACGTGGTGAATTTCCTATCGACTAGCGCTGGGTGAACCTCAGCAGGATTCCACTCGGACAGTCGCGGCTAGAACGCACCATATTCACAACATATGCCTCTAAAAGTGACAAAACACCCTCACCCTCGAAATGATAGCATTTTTCTGGCACCTTGTTATAGTAGACTTCTACAAAATGGTCTAGGGTCAGGTTTAATTTTTACCTTTGTTTGTTTTCCTCTGATACATTAGTTGAGCATTCACTGTTTCTTCCACGTGAATGCGATATCGTGCGGGGAGGTCATGCCAAGACAGTTTGAGCTACATCTGTCTAAAAAGTGAACTCAGAGAGACGTCAAGCTAAGTTCGTTGTTTCATCAAAATACTACACCACAATGGACCAAACTAAGCAGAGTTTCCAAACGGAATTGGTAGGTTGGCAGAACCGTTTACTCAATAAACCTATGCGGTTAATTCGGCAAGAGTATGGTTCTAAGTGGTGATGTAATTTTCGTCGTGGATCGGGACGACTAGTGGTCATAGCAGACTGAGAGTCGAAGCAAACATCCTCTGTGTATCTCTGCCTAGCCTTTGATACCGAGTAGCGATCACCATGTTGTTATTACTAGCAAGCAGTATCCGACTACTACTGTGCTGTGTCCGGGCTGAATAACCATATGTGCGACGTCTTAGTGATTAGAATTCAATGAGTACCACAATATCGTTCCAATCACAACCAGTTCTGATACCACAGTTCTTGCAAGGAATATGAATGCGCGCAAGTGGGTCGTCTGAGCTCTTCAGAAGCTTTACTAGGTGGTACATATGGACTTAACTCCGAACGGACGGACAACAGCGAGCGTCTGTTGCAGCTATGTGCAGAACACAAGCTGTTTTTAGTAGTAGTGCTTTTAGACACAATGGGCACCGAAGTACCACTTGGCGTCCTCCTGTAGCTGGCCAGCGATGTACCCAAATACATCACGTTGCTATAAGTTACAGGTGGCGTGGTTCCATGCTGGATTGCCACTCATTCAGGGTAATGGCTGATTATGACGCGGGGCAGTGAAAGCCGCAAGGAAGCTATCTCCTCGAGGCCCCCTTATTTTTGCACGACAGCCAGCTGTTTTTGATAGTATGTTGTTGACAAGGTGTAGGCGTCTTGACTCTGAATGTTTGTTTAGGGCATTAAGGTTTTATCGTAGGTCCTCTTTCTATCCCTCTTACTGTTCTTGGTTTTTTAGTTCACCTTCGTTGTACGGCAACGAAGCATCAGTTCAAGTGACTAATGTACTGCTGTTGATGATGATGAATCGCAAAAGCCATCCGCACGCCACTATAAGGCTGTTTAGAGCTCTCTAGTGCTTTCGTGCAGCCGTCTGGTGACTTTCTCCGCCCGACATAAACTGGAGAAAGTGTGAACACAGTAGAATCATTAGCAGTAGTAATTTGTGCCCGTGCTCCACTGCCTACAACCATAGTTACTCCGCTAATCAGAAATGATGGGGAAAGTAGGGGGACCCGATGCAACATGTAAACGTTCAAGATTGAGGAACCTATGAACTGCCAGAAACGCACGATCACTAATGACCGATTGTTATGCGGAGATAAGATGACATCGTCGTGATAAGGTCCTTGCGGTTTTTACCACCCGCCAGCATAATCAACCCTGCCCTATAGGTTAATGTACACCCTATACCGGGGACAGAAAATCCGACTAGTAGACAATAGCAGGCAAACCGACATCTGTTATGAAAATTTCGAGTCAGATATAGGATGGGTTGCCTGTAACCCAGCTTGGAAGGCGAGGTGGACCAGCGAAACCCGGTCTAGCGGTCATTGCATCCATTCCCCTGCCACGCCAGTGATTGTTCATCTGTCCTCACATCTTGGATTCCGCAAGCTGTGGGCAAGTAGGCGTACGCAGAACATGCTCAGACAAACACAGCACAGTCAATGTTATTTGTTGTTCCAGTTAACGTACCTACACATCACCGCATAGTCCTTGCCTGAGCACATCGCTGCGGACACGTTGATACCAACTTACCGGACTGATGATTCCGAGAAGACTATGGCCATGCCTAGAGGACCCTCAGACTGAAGAGAAGAGCAGTCTATACCGCGATTCTGATAACATAGGCTTTAGAATCAAAGCAAATTTCCTTCGATGCCAAATTAGTTTCATATTCCTGAAGCTGGTCTCAGTTTCACAATACGTGAACCAACTTAAGTAAACACAAGATGGGCGAATCGATCAACTGTCTGCAGTCCCTGGCCGTCACCGTTAAAGAAACGGCAAGTAGTGGCTCAAGGTTCTACAACAGTGCTTTGAATGTGCTTGCAAAATTGATGAAATTGCTCCGTAGTCTGTTGATGTCTGGCGGTACTGCTCCGTGAGCGCCACGCAGCATCACGTGTTAAGACATCACAAAGAGATATTCGATGATGGAGTCTACGATCAAATTGAATGGAAACAAGAAGACGGGGCAGCACTGATGAACGTCACTCGTTTTAGGAACGGTGTCTACCAATCTGCTGCTCAGGCAAAAGGCATGTAAACTAACTGCAAACTCCACGACATACCTTTCTCACCAAGGTTACCGAAAAGAACACAGCAATTGCAGGGTCCAGTGCTCTCTTGAACTCGAAGGAGACATTGATTGTCTAACTGTAATACGCAGGGCATTGGTTTAACACCTACCGCGGAGTGATAGTATTGTCTGTGGTCCTGTCCGAGTCAAAAACTTCCCACTTCTCCCATCCGATGCAAAGCGGTGTGCGAGAATACGAGTCAGTAACTTTGTTGCTGCCCATGTCAAATTTATAACCCTGTGGTTGGCACAAGGTTACGACTGCCCTCTTGAATATCATCACTGTGATACACCCACTACAGCCGTATGGAGGAACAACATCCCCCTACCATCCCTCTTTGAACAGGTGGGTGACATTGCAGACTTCACCGTCACCCTTTTATAGCCAAGGCATGACAGAACCTGGAACTTCATATAGGAAACAGTTAGAGACTGATCACGTTTGCAACCCAAGCGTCATGGTGCAATCTGCATCATCTGAGCGAGTTTGTTCAAGGCATCAACAGTAAGCCGATACACAGTATCGATGCTTTGCTGCCGCGCAGCCACCACCGGTCGCACGTGGGCTGAGGATACTGCGAGGGTCGCCCTGCCCCTACGCAGGCTCGAACCCGTGCTGCAAGATTACGAGACAAAGAATCACGGACAATGCTGATCTTCAGCATAGTAAATATTCCCATTCCAGTGAGAAAATCAAGACCAAATGAATGGAGGGTTAAGAATTCTTTCCGAGTAAAATCTCATCGGACCCAAACTTTTACATAGCAGAGATCAGATGCTGTAAATTGATTACTGGCATGGTTGAATAGTCATATCGATAGCTCCAGGCTAGGCCATAGGTGGAAGTCAAAGCAAAAAAGAGAGTAAAATATAACATAGAAGCTCGATACCTCAATGTAATCGGTTCAGGTACCATTGTCCGTCGGCCAAGGTATTAGTAATGGACAGACGTATCGCTTTTGAACACACATTTCGGGCATCAAATGGCGAGTGTATTTAGTCTCGGCAATAGAATGCAGTTGCTTGCGTAAGCCTGACGTGAAGCATTCAGGTAATGAGTATATAACTTTGAAGTCATTCAAAGAGGTTGTGGCCAGAATCAAGGTGTGATATAACAGAGCTGTTTGAAGATCTCATCTTGCCTTTGTAGAACCAGGCTGAGATGTGCTCGCGAATCCTCTGAGATGGGCGCCTCGTTATGCGACCCGTGTACCGCGCACCACAGGAGCACGAGTATTGATAAACGAGCATTGAACGGGCCAACAAGTGCAGTCCATCCTTCAAAGGCTTTGCAAACAATGGCTTGTTGTAATAAACAATCCCCAATCGGGCCACAAAATAAGTCTTCTCAACAGCATCTTTCAAGCGTCGAGATAGGGTACCAGCAACGGAATCGCCCTTAAATGACAAGTGCATGAACAGCTGTTTTTGGAGTAATGCTCTTAGGTGGTTTGCGTTTGTGTTCCTTCAGATGCTTTGCGATAAATTTGTCTGGATAGCCATTTTCTCTCAGGGCGCCGCTGATTCGCTGCAATTCCTCGTTGACGGTGTCATGCGTGCAGATACTGCGCGCCCTGAAGGCGAGAGATCAGACCAGATTTCTCTTGTACTGTAACGGTACTGCGCTGTAGAAGTTGGTGTATTGCCCAGTCCATGTATGCTTTCTGCTGATAGATCCATCGGAGTTACGGATAGCATCAACATCCAGAAAAGGTAGTCTGTTTCCAAACTCATGCTCGCAGTTAAAGTGGAGATTCGCATGTGCGTCATTAAAAGATTTAAGTAACTGCGCAGCATGATTTTCCGATTTGCAAGTACGACACTGTCATCGGCATAACGTACATACATTTCGGTCTCACCAATTCGCGTTCTGAGTGGGCCACGTTCCAATTTTGACATAAAGTTATCGGCCAGCATGGGTCCCGAAGGAGATCCCGTGGCCACTTCATTTCACCATTCGAGGTGAATTGAAAGTTTAGCGTGCACCGAAGTAATACCTCTTTGAGCAAAGTTTCCGAAGGTGCATAAATTGGCAGTTACCGGCCCAGGTCGCATATGTACTCCAGTTTCGAGCAGCGGTATGTTTGTGAACAACCACTGGGCGTCAAATGATATCATCATTTTGACAAGAAAGGTTAAGTTTGGCTTTTTTCTTAATGAATTCAAAGGTGTCTCTCACGCAATAAGTGCAAACCATATTCCGTAACGGTTGCAGCTTCTCCACCATCCATTGGGCTAACAAATGCTGGGGGGAACCCACCATGTCCAAAATCGAATGCATTGGGGCGCTTTTCTTGTGGACTTTAGAAAGACCATATGACCTCGAAAGATGTCCACCTGTGAAGGCTTCAGCTTCTCGAATTTCCTCTTCGTGATAAGATTTGCCTACATCATATGTCTGAGGCAGTCGGTCAACTGTTTCTCTAATACCTGTGTTGTCTTTTCCCGTTATAAGTTTCTGGAATCTATGCTCCGCTAAGGATGTTTTGCATCTTACATATATAGTTAGTCCTATCAATTAACACGATTTGTCATGCCCAGAGATTATTAAATCGTTGTTTGGCTGTAACTCCCACTACCACTACTGGATGGTTTAGCCCTAATATATTCTACGCAACTATTTCGCCATGGTTTTATGGCACATTATCTGTTATCATAGTGTGAATATATGTATCGAGTGCTACACATCGACGTTACTTATGGCGCTATCTAAAAGGGATATCACTTAGGCACTGTCATGAGTACAATGTAAATCTTTGGGTTGTCCCCGGTTATCATCGCCCAAACCAGTCGCCCGTGCTGCCTCAGCACCCATCTATTCCGTCTCATGTCTTACCAGCGTTCTGCCTGCTGGTGGTGAACCAAGCTCAATAATTATAGTACAGAAATTCGCCTCATACAACATCGATTGATTGACAACTGTTACCGCATAATTCCTTAAACAGCTCGAAATAGTTTTGATCAACTTTATTGCCCTATTTTCTTGCACTTACTCTTTTCGCCGCCCAGGTTCACGCTCGCTCTCGAGGTCCTGTCACAGCACTCACCCGCCAACCCACAGAGGGCCGAAGTCGCGAGGGTGGACTGCGTGTGGGGGAGATGGAACGAGACTGTTTCATCGCCTATGGCACATCACAATTGTTGGTTGAACGCTTGCTCACTTCCAGCGATGCCTATGACGCTTTCGTGTGTGAGCAATGTGGACTGTTAGCCACATCACGCACTTGGTGTCAGTACTGTAGAAACAGCCGCCGAGTCGTCACAGTGCGCATGCCTTATGCGTGCAAACTGTTGTTCCAGGAATTAATGTGCATGCGTATCCTGCCAAGACTCACATTGCGCAACACTTATCGTGACCGAAAATGAGTTCTAATGGAACCTGGTTCCGGTGACCTCATCTCTCATCATCTGTACAGTGTACATACGGTTGATCTGTCGCACATAAACAGTTTTGCTGGAATGAATCACATTTCTTTTTTGTTATCTTGGAATTCACTGAGAACTAATCAGTTCTCTATGGACTATAGGTTACGAGTTCCAAAAAATTGAAATTCAATCGAATGACCATCAACTGTATTCTCGATCTGTATTACTAAAACTAAAACAGCCTCTAGGTTGGGCTATTATTTTTGTCTCTTACCATTCCACGCTTCAAGATGGAGCACACACAAGCATTCGCAATCCCAGGCGTTACGTGCGTGCAACAAATCATTTGCGGTGGATCTCCTTCAAAGACCAATAGCGTTTTGCCGTTGCCCATCTGCACTCCTCTCTGGTGTTGGTAGTGCAATGTCGCCGGTGACTGATCCGCCTAAGAGGCAAAATGCCACTGTTCATCATTCATCATCATCAAGAGCAGTATATTGGTTAGTTGAACTGACCTACGGAACAAATAATAATAAGAGGGGGAGAAGGGGACTGGCGTAAAACCCCAATGCAACAAGCGAATATTTATGACAAAGGCGGCTTGTCAACAACATACCGTCGCAAACATTGTACAAAAATAAGGCGGCATCGGCGAGACAGCTTCCTTGCGGCTTTTACTGACCCACATCATAATCAGACATTACCTCACAGATAATTCAGCACCAAACACAAAAATCCGACTACGAGATGACGACAGACATGCGACTGCGAGCCATGTCCTGTAAAGTCTCCAGCCAAGCACAAAGCGGGCCATGTGGACTCCAACCTGGAAGGCGAGACGGACCGACGGCACCGAGTTTGGTCGTCAGTGACTTCATTTCCCTTTATTGAGTCAACTTTTGTCTACACCGAGCCTTATACAACCCTACATCTGGCATAACAAACAAGGCCCTCTACGGTAATCGGTGACTGGGCATACGTTGTGTTTGCCCAAGCCAGCGCAGCTTATTCAGTTCTATCTGTTGTTCTAAGGAACTAGCTTGGGTATCATCGCGTACGCACGCCATTGTTGCCGTTAGGCTGGTGCCACCCGACAACAGTGATGCTCAAAGACTTTAAGGCGCTTCAGATTTTCAGAATGAAGGGGCCAAGTCTCACTCTTACATATTAGGACGGCCCTCACAGCACGGCCTTTCAGACCAAGAAAACCCTGTCGCTAAATATGTCGCAGTTTCAAGAAGCAAGTTACGACTTTTGCAATACGTGAACTGACTTCAGTGCTTATGCGTCCATCGTTGCTGATGCAGTTGCCAAGGTAAGTGAATTGATCAACTAACTTGAGTTCCTCGCTATGAAGTGTCAAGGGGTCACCAAGAGACTGATGGTCCTGGAGCAACACTTAGTGCTTCAAAGGTGCGAAGCGCATACTAGATAATGGAACCACTCTGCAGGGGCTATTCAGGACTTATTGTATCGCCCCAACATCGTTAAACAGCAAGACGATGTCAACTAGTCTTTCAACAGGCAGCACGTCAACACCTGCATCGTAAGGCTGCGCAGTCCACGACGAAATTGAACAAAAATGGGGAAATTGGACAACCTTGACGAATGCCACTCGCTGTCGGAAAGGTTACTCGTAAATGACCGTAGACCCTGATGCGACCTGTGGTCTTCAAGGACAGAGCATGTATAATGTTCATTTATTTGATGGAAGCACCTTTCCACGCAAGTATTTCGAACAGAATGCATCGATCGACTGAATCGAACGTACTCTTGTAGGCCAGGAACTCAGGGATTGTCGGCCTACGGTACGTGTGGCACTGCTATAGCACCTGTCGCAGAGCGAATATGTGACCTATACAACCACGTCATGAGCGGAAATCTGCTTGCTCTTCCCTAATCCGGGAATCCCGTTCCGCAGTGACGTGACGAACAATGATTGAGGCTAGTACCATTTTCACCACCGTCGTTAGGCTAATATTCCTGTGACTAGCGCAGTCTGCCCGACTACCCCACTTGTATATTACCACTATAAGTGATTCACTCCAATTATTTGGAATTGTCTTTTCCTTCTAAATTTGTTAGAGCAGAATGGTCAGTGCTTTGCAGAGGACCTCAGCACCATCTTTAAATAGTGCAGGTGGGAGGGAATCCGCATCAGCTGCACGGAAACCATTAAATTCTGCGACTGCGTTTCGGACCTCAGCCTCAGACGGAGCCTCTAAGCTAACCAGCCGTGGCTCGGCCTTCACATCCGCAGTAGGGAGATATCCAGGAGCAGGGGCCATCTGAATTGATATCGAGAGTGTTCCGCCTAAGGAGCCATACGGCGCCTCTTGTTGTGAGTCATAGCACCCGCGCTGTCTGATTTCTGATATCAGTGGTGCGGATCGGTTGAAAGATCTTGTGGTACTTACCTACTGCTCTCGCCTCCATTTTTTGAGCATTAATAGCCCACCAGGCTTCTCTGTCTGCACGCAGGCTCCGCCTAATTACAATGTGTTCAGAGCCAGCCAGGATTTTCTTCCGGGTTCCAAGTTCCACCGACCTCTCAGATATTCAGTGACTGCTACTTTGATGATTGATAGTGTCGCAAGCAGAGGCTCCTGCATCGTGCATGGTGGCTAAGATTCTATTCCATTAAAGCTCAGAATCATTAGGACGAAAGAGATAAAGTTTAGTACGCAGGGCATACTGGTAGGTTTGCTTGACCAAGGACTGATAACTTCTCAACTGACAATCAAGAGGGCGCTTGATACGCCTCCAGGTAAAGCTCTTGAAAAAACGACACAGTGGGAATACCGTGTGAGCAAGGAGCGTGTTTGGTGCTTTGTTTGTGACACAGGAAGAGGACGTGAACCGGTCGGCACCGTTATATGACGCACCAGGCTCCGATGGCTGGGCCACGTGTTGCGCATGCCAGCACACCGAGTCCTGCGTGCCGAGGTGTGGACTGAAGAGAAGGTGAGGCCAACAGACGACTTGGCTGTGTCCTAAAAGAATGAACACGTTTGGTTGGATACACTTATTGAGATGGCTAAGAAACGACCTCAATGGAGCTTGTGTTGCAGGTTGGTTTATCCCTCCTTCTCCCACTTAACCTCCCCCTCATTTACTAGGCATAATATAACTTTGCGGCAAAACAGCCAACTGCTAGTTTTTCGGAACGATGTCTGTCCGTTACTTGTGGCTCAGCTGGCGTGCCTATGTTGCGTTTTTTCTCCTTTCTGATGTATTGCGGTACAATAGCTTGTACTTCCCACCCCATCGGGCCCTTTTGAGATCTACTCCTACCATGTGTTGGTCAGTGGTTAGAGATCAGACTAATTCAGCCTCCTGGTCCTCCAAGTTGGGGTTTGAAATGGGGTGGTATCCAAATCCGAGCCAAAATTTAGGACTCTAATCCTCCTCCTGTGTAGGTCTGGGTGCCTTGACAGTATCTCAGCCCACATGCAAGTATGACTATTTCCTCATTCCCTCTCAAAGACGCCTTGCTCCGGTGCAACCAACACCGGATGCAAGCGCGCTGGAGTAATGCAAGATGTACTACAACTGTTCGAATGTGGTTCGCTGTATCTCAACCGCTTACATTGAATAGCTCATATCTTCCGTATGACCGTTGATCGACTTCTTTGGCGTGCACTATGCGCCGTGGCTGCACCAAGTTGGGTGAAACCGCGACGTGGCCAATCGACGGCATAACATAAAGAAACTGACCGAAAGACTTGACTAAGCTGGTGCATACCGTCCTCCGTGGATAGGGTCGCGGGATTGTACACACCGGTGGTTAGAGACCTTATCGGACATCGCGCAATCAGTGGCATTCCTGCATTCGGTTTCTTGCATCTAGTCGTTAATCATTTTTCTATCCAGACTAGTTTTACGGTCTTTTTTACCAGATTCCATTTTCTATGTTTTATTTGCATTAGACTTCATTTTCTTACCGATGTTGTGCTTTCAGCGACGTGTCGTGGCAACTGGATCCACTGCACTTCGGTGCCCGAATCATAGTAATTTAAGCGGACCGCAAATGTAAAGCGGTAGGTTCCAATTTGAACGCCTTAGTTATTTTGCCAACGTGCAGACTGCACACCGAAAGTAATGGCAGTGTGATGGGAATTAGGCAATCACCAACGGTTGGTGGAATTTGAACGAATATCCGATTTAAGGTGGATTGAAGCGAACCGATGCCATCTCGACCACCAGGTGTGTTCGTTCGAAACGAGGGCATTTTGGATATGCTGATACCGAGAAAACAATTAAGGGATGACCCCGTTCCCACTCGGTAGCGTTTTGCCTATCGAATTGGGCATTTAAAACACAACCAAGTAATTTTTCGCTGTACACCCGGTCTGTGACACTGATGCGAAACCTGCTCACCTCTATACATTTTCAAGCAGCGGTACTTATGTTCGTTATGGAGTCAATTTGTTCCGCATTCTAAAAGATAGATGTCTATCGGATGAACTGAATCTCGGATGCGCTCAAACGGTGTTGCGCCATCACACCAATCAACGTAGCAGTACCCGGGAAGTAACCCATATTCTCCCGAAATCGGGGACTGCATGTAATTGTAATTTTATTAAGATACATATAAGTAGCTCTGAATGATATGCTGGAGCCAACACCCGAAGAAAGCACACTGGTCGGGAAGAAGCTGTTCACAAGTGAGAACTTCGCTTTGGTCCACACGGTTGTACATGCATGATATGGCGTTTGGCTATGAAGCATAGATAAAATCAAAAATAAACACAGATTGTATAATGCGGTGCAGCTGGCGCTGAAGTGATTTGCGCGACGAGCGCAGGATGACGCGTTCAGGTGGGGGGCTGGAGACCCAAATGTTGTAGTTGAATGCTGAGGTTGATCCGTTGATCTTTCAACTCTGTCCATTCTCCGTGCATTTCGTTATTCAACCTCAATATGACATGGTTCGCTGCTTTTGCTTCGTGGATGAGCGCAATCAGCAACCGTCGGCGACGACCAGACGAGTACTGTTTCACCTTAGATAGGCTACGTCCAGTGAGAGCTGCCAACAGTTTCACCGAATCCGCCCGCCTGTTTAGGTGAATAAATGGATCAATATGGGATACCAAGTTAAATGTAAAAGTAACCATACACTATGATGAGTAACTGTCTAAGTGTGATTGCAGCGAGCAAATGTGACCTTCTCATTTTAAGAATTCTGAAATCGCAAGAATGGCCGGTTCGAATCTGCGTAGGTGTGGACGACTTTTTGATACCCATAGTCCGTGCGCAACTGGTGACGGTCATTTGGCAGAGAAGCGTCGGTGCTGCACACCGGTGTACTACTTATGCCTCTCTCACCTATATTAGTCAAGTCAAGATAATGATGGGTGGTGGCGACATAAATGCCCGCAGTCTAATCGAACAATCATAACTTGAGAACTGGACTGTATTGGAATAGCGGCAGTGAAAATTAAAAGTGGCAAGTGGATGCAGTGTTGAAGCAGCCTGCCCATGGCAGCCTTCGGAGTCGGTCGCCTCCTTAGCAGCTCGGAGAAATTGAGTCCGGCGCATCCTGTCGCTAATTAGCTAGTGGATGAGAACGTTTCACCTTTGAAGGATACCAATGAGAACGATGTACCCTGAAGTCCGCCAGTGAGCGCATTATTTCGGAAACCAACAATCGCATTTTTATGCATCTAATAGTTGCTGGAAACCAGGAAATTCCAGCTAGGTCATTATCTTATGAAGTATTTATTTGACTTCATTATCTGCCTATACATACTGCTTGCCGGGTGTCCAACATACATTCTATCAGAGGCCTTTGTCTTCTGGTCTTGGACGTCAGTCGGTCCAGATTGTGCAATAGCAGCAGGTTGTCCGTAATGCCAGCAGAAACCACAACATTCTAGCGACGGAGGTGAGATAGCGACACAACACAACCGTAGGTCGGTTAAGGGAAAAAGCCATTATTGTTAATTGAGATGCCGGAAACCACAGGCGCGGATGACCTCGGAACTTCGCCATGTCCGTTAGGCTCCGTAATCCCTGCACGAAGGTATCCATCGGTAGGGATACGAGGAACCTAGTCTGGACAACGCAAGTCGTTCACCTTCAAAGAATGGTGTAGCTCTGCACCAAACCTTAACTAGTGAACTTCGGTATTGCTCACCTGACGTCACTAGACCTGAGTAACGTTATACAAAGCTCGGTGACCAAATACCTAATAATCAGTGTGTGAGGTGAATAAGCCTTTGGTCTAAACGGTAAAATCGGCCTGTCCTTGTCTGACAGATCGACGTCCGCCCGTCCCCCTAACGTCCAACTAGGCGTGTCTTTTTCCTTCACATCCGCCTCGTTTAACACCCTCATCTAGCTTTCTCATCACGTTGCCATCTCCATGGAAACTAGCAGTGAACTAATAAAGGTGGCTCCAAAGGAGATTTCAATGAAGCACATACGTGGTGCATCCTCTCCGAATGCACCAGGAAAGAGTGGCAGGCTCGAACCAAAAGATGGGTCCGCGACTCGTTTCCACAGAATCATCAGCGTAAATTTGTCCATTGCCATCTTCCAACTCCACATTGTTAGATCGTAATTTGAATGCAGGCAGTGGCTCTGGTAGTCAATGAGTCGTCACTCGAAACACGTGACGGATAGGCGCACATGAACTATCCGCATCGGGAATGCAGCAATCCAGCACTAATCTACGGCAGCCGCATATGGTAGCCAGACCAGGAGTAAGATTAGCCATGTTAATACAAGTACGTCGACAACTGTAATTGTAACCCGAAACCGGACAAACAGCTGTTTCACGTACACCGATGACTCCCACCTCAGCTCAGCAGCTGATGCCTGAGAGAAACCTGTGGTATATTCTACGCCGGAACCAGTCGCGGACCGCCGAAGGCGTGACTTTGTACGCCACCGTTTCAGTCGCTACACACAAGGAGCAACACTTCAGTCTATACCAGGTGCTAAAACACAAATGCGCAAATCACACCATCAACAACTCAGACTACATCCTCTTTCAAGTGGGCTAGTTTTAGACAAGCCCACGAGTCACTGACAACTGTATGTTCCGAGGTCCCTGAATCTAGTATAAATACCATAAAAGGTATGCTGCTGGATGACGGAAAACTGGGTCTTCTTATATCGCCTACTAGGGTCCACACCGAACCGACCGGCATGTTGCGCATCGTATGGCACCCAAACTCAAACCACGGCTCTTAGGTGTGACGCTTCAATCAACGGACGAGGTTGGGGAGGTTCTGTCAGCCACTCGTCTTTGGACTATATCATGAGGTGTTCGTATTTTTCCGAACGCCAGCGAAGAAAACAGAACCCGGACGACAACCGTCAGCTGAAGAACGAAACATCGGCATCCATACATGGTGTCCCGGAGCTTCAGGCCTCGAATGCACCCAAAACCCAATCCTATGACAATGAGGAGTGGCGTTGTATACGTGGTGCTCTCACTCCGCAACATGATAGCCAAGACGGTTCTTTACATACGTTCACCCTGTCAACGGGTGCAATATACTAACGATTGCCTATAGACCAGCAAATGCAAGCTGTTGCCAACCCGGTAACCTTATGACAATTAACGCGGTACCTTTCCGCAAATCTCACTGCAGGACATTATGCATTGCTGTGCAGATGCTGATGCTAAGCTCATCATTAAGGCCGATTAACTGCAGTTGACAGGTAATTCAGCCACACCCACCGATAACTAACACATTGTTCCATGATAGCGCGTAGTGAAGCACCGCACGTATTCATTATTTCACCTAGGCAGCATTATCCACACCCGAACACACGTAGACACCGCTAAGCACATCACGTGAGGTTGACGGACATGTCTGCTAGCTTGCATGCAGCTACCTTCAGTGAAGGAAATCGATACTGTCTCATTGTGAAGCACATGCCACGTTCGGTCGTTTGCGCGCAACGGTGAGCACTATGTACGCGGATGGAATATCTCCGCCCCCGCCCAGTTCTGTGTTGTGTGTCTTGATGCCGCATAAGTGAGTGGGTGGATGCCGCATGCTAATCCGCACCGCATCCTACACGGACTGAGCTCACGTGTTGTTTTGACGTCTGCGTGTGCATCACGTGGCTTGTCGGGTGAGCGCAAAGTCTAACCGCTGCACCAACCGATGTAGGTGTTCTGAGTACCGGTGAAGTGATTTGCAATTGGGCAAAACGATGGGCACGCATTTGTGCGTGTGCGCCACTAGATTCAACTCGATGTGCTTGTGGATTGAGTTGAATATGATTATAGAGAAACATGATTTGCTTAAGGAGGAGTTTGATTCAGTTATGGAATTAATTGACTCGGAAATGTATAGCCATGGAATCAACTATTGCGGAGGCCTTCATGGAATACTTGAAAAGATGCAGTATCATCGAACCGGAGCAACACGATTTTCTCCGAAACCGTATGTACCACGAACCTCTAGTTAGCCCCTATCAGCTGGACGGAATCTGTCACCGCTGAGAAGGGACTTGACACTGTGTGCCTCGATTTCTCGAAAGCGTTTGATCGTCATTCTTACTCTCAAGCTTTAGACATGTGGAATCGGCGACCCCATCCTAGATTGTATACGTGCATTAATGCTTCAACGTCGCCTAAATGTGCACTGTGGCGTCCCACAAAGCACGGTTCTAGGATTAAGGCTTTTCTTCATCTTCATTAACGATCTCGTGGGAGTGATCGATTCAAACGTTTTACTCTTCGCGGACGATCTCAAAATCCGGCGAACTATCAGGACGTTAAACAACCACACGACGTTACAAGCTGATTTCGACAGAGGTCAAGATTGGTCAGTTCAGAACATGTTGGAGTTCAACGCTGTCAACTGCCGAGTACTGCGCATACGCCAATCATCATCATCAATGCACGTCCGCTGAGGGCGAGAAACACACCTCAGCTAATGTGCCTCAATACAAAAATATGAAAGTAAAAAATTACACTCCAAAAAAATCCCCAAGCAAGTAATCTCATGTTAAGTGTATCGGATCGGGATTGGAAGGGAATCTAAAGGGGAAAGAGAAGGACAAAGAAACTCACATCATAAACGTCATTGGAGCCGGCTCTTCGTCATATCAGCAAGTGTGTCCAACCAAACGTCTTCATCGTCCTTAGGACCCCAGCCAGGCAGTCGGGATGCACTAACTGACGCCAACTTCGAAGTGAGGGTTTTCATTTCTCTCGACCAAGTCATCGCTTGGCCTCCTCTTCCAACCACATGCCTAGCGCTCAAACTACGCACGTCGCCGGAGTCGGTGTGCTGACATGCGCAGCTCGTGGCGCAGCCATCGGAGCATAATGCGTGCTATAATGGTGCTGAGCGTTTTATTCGCTTTTCCTGCACCAAATACGCGACGCCGAACACGCTGATTGCTCACGCGATGCTCCCACCAGATATGAGCTAAGCTGCGAAGGCAGCGATGATCGAGCGTGACCAGTCTCTTTATGTCTGTCGACCTGATGGGCCAGGTTTCACAACCGTACAGGAATGCTGAATAGACGGCTGTATTATACACTCCGCGCTTCAGGGCGAGAGTGATGTCAAGTATGCGCCACAGGTGGCGGAGACTGGCAAAAACATCTCTAGCTTTTGTTATAGGGTTCGTAACCTCATCTCGATACCACGGGCGCAAATATAGTTGCCCAGGTAGTTGAATTCCTGAACGACTTCTATCTGATCACCACAAAGCGTTAGCGCAGGAGTGAGTCCCTCCCAATCTTGGAGAAGGACTTTGCATTTCGAGGAAGCAAAGCATAGCCCAAAAGGATAGACAGCCAGTGCTAATCGGTCCAGTGCTGCTTGGCACGTTGGGGAGCTGTCACAGATTAGGTAAATATCGTCTGCATACTCGAAGTCAAGAAGCTGCTCAACAGCACGTAGCTCCACACCACTTAGGTCCTATCCAGCGAATGCTGTTTCCATGACTTCGTCAATAGAGTAGTAAAAAAGGAAAGGTAACCGCGGGCAATCTCGTCTCACACCGCTGATGATACTGAAGGGCGGTAACAGTTTGCCACAAACCCTCACTCTGCCCGAACTATGCGCGTACAGCGCTTT